GTTTATAGCCGGTAGCATAGACTGAGTATTCTCTATCGTCTGGATGTCGTTTTGAAAGAGAGGTAAAAGAAAGGAAAAAAATGACTGAATGGAATGATCATGGTTCTTGCATCATTTTCAATCCATTTTTTTCCCCTATGTGTACCGGCATTCTTTTTCCTTGTTATTTTTTCTTTTGCCTTTTTAAGAAATCAATTTTGGTTTCTTTCTCTCTTTTCAAACGATTGAACTGCAAATCCAATCTTATTCAAAACAATTTTATCATTATAATAACGCTGCTTCATTAATTATCATACACTAGTCATCGCTTTTATCCATTGCCCATTTCAATGTAGTTATCGTACAGTACTGTCGGTACCCATGGAGGTAAAATACTCCATTGACGTCATTCAGTGTTAAAAGGACCAATAAATTAGCACCGTGACATTTTGACTCTCTTCTTCATTTTTAGGCATTGCAATTCATCGTCTGCTTCTCTTCAAGACAGAAACAGTTTCGAAAGGATATTTTCCAACATTGCAAAAATCACTTCAATAACGATGGTCAAATTAATCAATTTACTTTTAGTGATCGTCATGACTCTATTGGTAGCATGTACCAGTGGTCAATTTGTATGGAAGACGACCCCTTGGCAAGACTGCCAATTCATTGATACTTGGCAATATAGTCGTCATCCGATTTCACCTTGTTGCCGCTTAAATTGTGGTCAACCACGCCAGGTAACATGTCGACGTCAACGAGATCAACAGCTTGTACCCAATTATTATTGTCGTCATTTATCAAGACCACCCAATCTTCAACCGTGTTCATCATGTTCTCAATCCAATGCTTGCATACTCAGTCTATGGTCCAGTTGGAGTCCTTGCTCAACAACTTGTGGTCAAGGGATACAATCTCGTCATCGTCAAGTTTTAGCTGTTCCCAATCAGCAACAAATCTACCATTGCCCAACGACGTATCAACAACAAGCATGTTATAACTCAATGCCGTGCAATCAATCCATCCAACTTGTATCATCCACTGTGTGGAAATCGCATCTTGGTCAATGTGAAGATTACATAGTAGATGACGCCGACATTCAAGTACGAAAAGGCAACTTAGTTTGTATCGATCGCAATGGCAATTATATTGCCGACCATTACTGTCCAAGGAACCTCAATATTCGTACCACTTTTGATGAACTATGCTATCCAAAAGTCGATTGTTTAGTATCGGATTGGAAGAATTGGAGTCCAGCATGTCAAGGGTGTGCTAATACTTCATCACCTTCAAGCTTTATACAAAAAAGATATCGTCGAATTTTACGCTATCCTATCAATGGTGGTCAAGCTTGCCCCCTTTTATCTCAAGAGCAACTTTGCATATTACCCATTTGTAGTAGTAAGAGTACCAACAACTATCGTCAGATTATCACCGATTGGGGAGCATGTAGCATCGATCCATCGGTACAGAATAAAAATTCTACTTGCCAAAATGGCATACAACGAAGATCTATAATTTGCGTCAATAGTGATAGCAACACCATTGTCGAAAATCAATTTTGCCAAAAGAATAAGACAGAGATTGATCGTGTTAGCCTTGCTCGTGGCTGTTCTATTCATTGTAGCCAAGATTGTTTAACAGGCCAATGGTCAGATTGGTCAAAATGTTCCAATAGCTGTGGTATTGGTATTACTTCACGCCATCGTAAAATTATTATCCCACCTATGAATGCAGGCAAAGATTGTGGCATTCTCAACCAATCTCAACGATGTAGTCAAAATAATTGTTCTCATTGGCGCACAGATGCATGGAGTAGATGCTTACCTGATCAATTGAATTCACAATGTGGTCGAGGCACTTCCTTAAGGAGTGTTTATTGCGTATCGCATGATGGTAGCACTTTAAGCGATCAAAATTGTAGTCATTTGCCTCGACCATCACGAGATAGATCTTGTTTAATACCTTGCCTTGATGATTGCATACTTTCTGAGTGGACAAGTTGGTCAGATTGTCATGGTAATTGCTCTAAGGTGAGTAAACGTCAGCGTTACTTATTAGGCACTGGAAGGAATTGCGAATCTGTCAATCATTTAGAAGAAACACGTTCTTGTACTGATTGCTTAAAAGATATTTGTACTGTTAGCCAATGGAATGCATGTATACCAAAACCAAATAGTACTTGTGGAATTGGTACAGGTCAACAGATGCGCTTGGTCAATTGTTCATCACTGTTAGGTAATCATTCTATCCCAGCAAATAATCGCGATTGCGATATTCCTTGTCCTATTGATTGCAAATTATCAAGTCAATGGACAACATGGTCGATCTGTTCTCAATCTTGTGGTGAAGGTTATTCAACACGTTCCAAATTTATTATGCAGTATCCACTCCATGGTGGCAAGCCATGCCCTAATAATGGAACGATAGATGGAATTGTACTTCAAAAACGTTTATGCGATTTACCACCGTGTCAGAATAGAACACAATATCAATGGGTTACTCACCCTTGGTCATCGTGTAAATTACTTCAAGAAAATTCAACAATGGCTTGTGGTGGTGGAATTCAATCAAGGCAAGTGGATTGTGTATATAATGGATATACCATGGACGATCATGAAGTCTGTATCAATAATAGTTTACTGAATGCACCTGATCATGTTCGTTCATGCTCAATACCATGCAGTAATGACTGCTCTTTAAGTGAATGGTCTGCTTGGTCAAAGTGTTCTAGTAACTGTAATCATAATGCTGATCGTAAGTATCGAGTTCGTCATTTTTATAACTACAATATGTCAACTGGCCTCCAAGTTTGTAAACATACTGTTGAAGCAGATCTGAAGCAAGTTACTAACTGCATCAATGATCAATGTTTCACGTATAAATGGCTCATTGGACAGTGGCATAGCTGTGTATTAACACTGGACAATGCTAACTGTGGCAAAGGTATACAAAAGCGTAGCTTGTTATGTGAACGAAGTGATAATACAATTGTTGACAATGATGTATGTATCAAATATGTGGATAGTATACCAGCTACTTTGAAAACATGTACAATTGACTGTGGACTCCATTGCCAAATGACACAATGGTCACATTGGAGTGATTGTGATCAAGAATGCGGCTATGGTATCAAAAGAAGGAAACGTCAAATTATCCATTACGCATCGGGTAACGTGAAACGATGCGGTAATCTACAAGAGACAGAAGTATGCCAGCAAAGGTCTTGTCATGGTATCTCATGGTTTACCGGCGCTTGGAGTCAATGTATTCTAAATAATGGAAGCTCTTGCGGTCATGGCGGACGAACACGCAAAGTATATTGTATCGATTCTAACCAATCGCCTATACCAAAGCGTCTATGTGAAGCTTTAATTATGCAACCTGTTAACGTTGAACCATGTCAAATTAGCTGTTCCAATCAATGTGGCTATAGTATGTGGTCTGAATGGTCATCATGCAGTCAAACTTGTAGTCGTGGTAGTCGTCGTAGAACGCGATACTTATTGCGCGATATATCTGGTTTAGATTGTACTGATACCGTCCAAGCTGAAGCATGTATCGTTAATTCTTGCCATAAGTACTATTGGACAGTGTCACCGTGGACACGTTGTGTACCATCTTCTCCAATATGCGGTCAAGGAGTACAATTTCGTGCTATTAACTGCCAACGAAGTGACGGTGTCGTTGTTGGTTCATCACTTTGCTCAAATAATAATTTACCGACAATGCGTGATTGTAACGTTCCGTGTAATACTGATTGTATTTTATCAGAATGGTCATCATGGTCATCTTGTTCTGCTAGCTGTGGATTGAATGGAACAATTACGCGGCAGCGCTATATATTATATAATGCCACTGGAAATGGTAGACCTTGTCCACAACACCAACATTTGCTTCAATCACTTCCTTGTAATGTAAAACCATGTTTCAATTATCGTATTACAAGAGGTCATTGGTCTCGTTGTACCACTGTTGGTAGTGAATGCGGCCATGGTAAACGATATCGTACTATTCGTTGTATTCGAAATGATGGTTTAGAAGTTGATACTTCAAAATGTATTGCTACCTTAATCAAGGCTAATGAAAATAAGATTGGATTTAACGTAAAAGAGTCGACACTAGATATAGGCACTAAGGAAGACTGTTATATCTCTTGTAAAGGCGATTGCGTCTTAACAACTTGGAGTAATTATAGCCCATGTCATTATGATTGCAACCAGAAAAATGGTAATGGTTATCGTGTAAGAGCTCGTCAAATTATACATCAAGCTAATGCTGGTGGTTTACCTTGCCCTAATAATTTGGTTGAAGTTACAAGATGTTTACCATCTGAGGCTACATGTGCTCAATTTATCTGGCGTACTGGTAAGTGGTCGATACAATCCGGCAACAGGGAAATTTGGTGTGTTGATAGTAGCACCGGAAAGAATGTGACTGGCTGCAATAAATTAACTATGCCACCCGATAATATTCAATGTCAGCCGGAATGCTCTAACGCAAACCAGGAATGTCGGGATGGACGTTGTGTTTGTATTGTAAGTAGACTAACATGATGTTATTGATCATCGTGTGTACTCTATACCAAATTAAACGTCAATATATTCTCATTTTCTGTTAGTTAATTGGAAGCTATGTTTCACTGTAATCTCTTATTTATGGATTATTTTATACTAAAATTTATACATTGTCAACAGGTTGGATTTCAGCGCATTAATAACGGTTGTATGCCAATATCCGGTTGCACTGAAGACAAGCATTGTGCTTATAATAACAGTTTTTGCGGAACGAATCGACAATGTTTATGTAGAGATGGATTTTATAGAATGACATTTCCGTCCAACGATAATCTTTGTCTACCAGTGCCAAAGAATGAAACGCTCATAAGGCGTAAACAAGATCGAAGTTCGTATCATCAATTTAACAATCTGTATTTTGAATATGTTGATAAATTTTTTAGCTGTCGTCTAGGTTATGTTATCTATAACGTGGTTTATTTCTAATTTATAGTGATTCGAGATGGTATTATTGGTGGAGCATTGGCTGTTTGCCTGCTTGGTGGTTATCTATTCTTTATTAGATGGCTGAGGTAATGTTATCTTAAATTGACGGTATAGTATAGTGTGTGATATAGTGTACTGATAGTGATTCAATATAGTATTACAATTTTTTATCAACTTTTTCCGCTATTGCAGTAAAATGCTAGTTGCTCAAATTAATTTATTTCTCCTTATGCTATACAGGAAAGGCTATTCTATGAATCAACCCGTAAGAGGTAGAAAAACCAGTTTATGGAATAACGATGTATATACAGTAAGAAGACAACTAGCAAATGAAGAAGATGATGATGTTTTTTTCGAAGATTAAATCTAACTTACGCTTACTACCGAAATTTGATCGCATTACATCGTAATAAACTTGCAAGCTAAATGATAATTTTAGTCGTTATTGCAGTATTGGATATATTAAGAATACTTTATGGAATATTTAATAATGATCGTAAATTAAATACTACTATATTTTACTGCAACTTTTGATTATTTACTCATGAGAATTATTTCTAATTTATCTATCTGTTTTATGCTGATTTGTTCATAAAAAATTTGTTACGATTCGAGATTATAATTAATTATTAATGAAAAAGATTATTATTAAACTTTTTATAATTGATTCTTTTATCGTTGTTTTACTGTAGCAAATTTTCATATCGCAAATTTTTATAGGCCAAGCGATTATAACTTGATGATATTTTGGTCTACAAATCTGTTTAATCATATACAATTTTTATCCATGGTGTGTGTTACATACCAGTATTGTATTTTATATTTAAGAAAGCTATTGACGAAAAGTAATAACTTGTGCAGTAAATATATATTATAGTGCCTTATGATGCATTTGAGGCTGATAATGAATCATACAATGAAATACTATTAATGTGCTTTATTACAACAGAATCGTGCTACGTACACATATGTCATATATGTTGTATATCAATTATGTATACATAAGTATAAGTGCAGGGGCATATAAATTATTTGTGTTATTATTTGGCAATCTGGAGCAATTCATTGCTTAAATAAAAATTATGTATTTATATAAAATATGTACAACTTGATTTGATTAGATTTTACTGTATGGTGCAAGTTGTCCTCGATATATAAGTTTTAAGACTGAGCGAACTTATTAATGTCTGAATAAATGTCTACTGTAGAATCTACATTTGCTTTATATCATACGTCTTTGCCATGTTCGAGTAGCAAAGCCATAATATATGAATCAGTTTCTGTTCTGATGTAATAAAATGACACAGAGAATCGTAGCATGCATTTCTAATTAATGATCAAGGTGTGTAATACAGTACACGCGCAAAATTTGATTGAGAAACGGTATTTGAATCTGGTATAGATATATGTGTCATTGTTTAAAATGCTCTCAGAAAGGTTAAATCCTTATCCTGTAGAATAGTTATAGATTTAGTTGCACCGATATGGCCAGTAAAACTTTTTGTTATATCCATTTTGAATTCGAAAAGTGACTTTACTAAATATTAATTGATACAAAATTTATGATATAGTATAGTACATCAAGGTATATCATAATAATTAAAGATTAAATCACTATTATTGCAAAGTTTGTATTATAACACAACGAATTTTTCTTAGCTATGCATCAAATAGCAACATGGTTGTTACATTCCATTACTTTTACACATCATATCAATCATAAGATTTATTTCCATTTTAATACAATATAAATTACGAAGAACACGAATAAAACAAACAGCAGCATATAACACCAAATCCAACCATGGCCAGCTCTACTTAAGGAGGTCAATTTTCCCATCGCACCTTGTAGAAATCCTCCAGTTTTATCAAAGTCTGTATCCTATAGCAATAGCAGCAAATCGTTCTTAGTATAAAGTTAAAATTAGAAAGCTAATTTCTTACAATCCTAAATGGATCTCAAAGATACTAAATTTTTGCAAGTGCATAATAATCTCACATAATTTAGTACAATTTGAGATAAATATACGTTCCAAAATTTTATAGCTATTACTATGTTATATTGATATCTCTGTTTGCCATGCAATATCTAAAATAAGATATACTATGATGTGTATACCCAAATTTAAAATTTAGCGATTATAATTAATATCCGATACCATATCTTTTAACCACTTTGTCTGGCCACGTATTTCATCTCCCATTTGGATAGATATCTATCATGAGACAAAAGTCGCAAAATTTAGCATACGAAATCAAGTCGGTAGTAGAGGCGTAGTGGTATTGATTATAACAAGTATTAACTCATTCAATTAAGATTCACGTTATAAAACTACATTTCAAACAAGGTAAATGTATTTATAGAATATCTTAACACTTGTCCTAGTAGTTAAGATTTACTCATTCTTAGTAAATAACTCGGTCATTTACCAAAACTCTTCAATGTTTGCTGCTTGATGACAGAATACGTAAAAAAAGTTCCTATAATTTACCGTTTTTAGCGCTGAAACTTTATGAGACATTTCATCAGTCATTCGATCATTTTCTTCTTCGAGAAATTGTTTATTGCTTCCATCAGCTCCTGGGTATCCTAAATGTGACCACGATATCCAATCATGTTATTAGCGTGGTATTTCTACGCTGCAAGTAACATTATAAATAAGATATAAAAATTTTCAACTACAAAAGTTGAATTTGGTTTTGCCTGTATTAAGGATACACGTTAACTACAAGCGTGATATGAAATTGGTATGAGGTAGAAAGTATGCTGCGGCATTTGGGGGCCGGAAGATAGCTATTTTTTAAATTTTTTACCAAGGAGAAATTGCTTACTTCTACGAGATAGGATTGGTTAAGGCTTTACATAACTGTACTGTATAATACTGAAAACCTCTCAAGTCCAGAGCTCTAATGATTTTTTTGATCATTTGATTTACGGAACTTCAATTATTTATATTAATTATAGAAAGTACTGATTTAGGATTAATTTCTCTATCAATTGGTTGTATTTATGAATAATATTACCCAATATATCAGTAGTAAGGAAGGAAAGAAATTTGTTGAGTATTTTAATCTACTAAATGACTGATTTTCGACTTCGGTATTGATGACAGCTCGATCAGTGTTGATGCGTAACCACCATTACTGATTGAACGTTACGTTAAGGGATGCAATAAGCCAAGTTTGGGTCGTGCTTTCTAGATTATCGTACAAATATTGGCGGCTATAGAGGATGCAGTCTGTACTTGTATCATTGTCACATGAAATCGTTTCGACTTCCGGTTATCAATCGCTAATTTTGGGCAAGAAACACCAGGGTATAAATATCAACTTCCAACGTAAACAGAAGTAGAGGTTATATTCATACGTATTTAAAACGACGTGAAGAAGGAAGAAATAATTAACTTTCCATTCCATATACTTGGCAAGAAATAACCAAGATTTTCTGAATTAGTTGTAGCTTATGTCGTATCCACAATGCTGCAAGAGTGCATAGGACAGCGTCATCAATAGCTGGCTAACAATTCTTGAAATCACCCTACCAATCGAATCGGATCATCGTTTTACCTCCATTGTAGGAAGGCCTTCTACAGTATTTTTTTTATTGATAATAACACGACGTCTGAACTTATTTGTCGTCAGAAATCGTAATGAGCCACTTTAAACAGAGATTTAGAGGCCCAATAAATACTTAACATTATTTTCATTTTTAAGCTAGAGTAAACTAAAGTCCTTAACTATTCATTTCTAATCGTCCTAAATTATCCTTCATGTTATTATGATCATCATTTTCTACATTCAGGCGTAGCCCAATAATTCAAGTCAAAATCCTATTCGTTACCTGATCGTTTCATATCCTGCTATTAAGTTGCTTAGCTAGTTAATAGCTAAATGGATTCTTGAAAGGATGAAATGAAGACGATACTATACAGAAATGGATTAAGTTAATTCTATCAGCGTATTATGATAGGAAGATCGTAGTAGCCATCTAAAAAATCGGGCGAAGATGAATGACCTAAGCAGTCAAGGCGTAGGGTACAGACGCGTACCATGCTATATTGGTACAGTATTTATATGGAAAGGCAAAGGTAAACCAACTGAGTGATTGTAGAATGAAAGAAGTTGAAATTTTCCAATGCTTTCTGTCCGTCCGTCTAGGACACAAGGCAGCGCCCAACGTAGAGTTCTGTAGAATGATAGTGTAAAAAAGGCGCAGCAAATACTTATACAAAATGCTATAAAGCGCAGTACCGTATGGCGCAGTCTTTTCCAAGCCTAGTCTAGAGCCTATACGAGTATCAACTTCGATCTAGAATTCAATTTATGCTAATATTCCGTAGTTTTAGCCGTTTATTTCAGTTTAGAACCATCGATGTTTAATACTTTCTGTCTAGTAGCATCAATAAACGTTTGATTGCATTGGTAAAAAGATGGAGAAAGTATTTTGAGTCCAGTTGAAAGTAATTCGCTTTCTACTTGCAGTAGGTGTATTTTTCTGCGGTCATATTATGATATTCAATAGTCATGTTTGGGTACCTATACTTATGGGCGTAAATGAGGTTACCACATCCAATATGGCAGCTCATCACGAGGAGCAAAATAGACTGCTGAAAAGTTCACTAGAACTTTTTACTACTTGAGATATAGCCTTAATACTTCGTGTAAGATTATACCCAACTATTATAGCTACAGTGCTACCACCTAAATTCCTGTTACAGCTATGAACTACGCCATAGGTATAACTTTTTGTGCATGCTGTATGATTGAATCATCAACACCTGGATAGTAGGCCTAACTATTTTGCATAAATTAATTTGTACATTTCGTTTAAGCTGCCCTACTGATACATTAGACATGTATTTATTGATTTTTTATTTTCTTTTAGATATGTCAATACATGTCTAATGTGCAGCAGGACAGCTTCAACGAAGGGTACAAAGTAGGTTATGCAAAATGGTTAGGGCTACTGCATAGTCTTGGTTGTCTTGGATACGAGCTTACAGTTTAAGACGTAGCCGGCACGTCTTCCAATCTTCTTCAGCAAGCACATCTCAGAAATTGAAAGGCATGACTATAAATTGAAGATATAAACCTCTACTATAAAACTTAATGGAAACGGATTGCTGCTTAGGTAGATACGTCCATTTTTGTTTCAAAAATGATCGACTGGTAATGGTATACGTATTATAATTACATAATCGATGCTAGGTTATCGCTTACTGATTTGTTGTTTAGCCTGGCCTAACATGAGATGATCAAATCTAACTTTATTGTCAATAATATAATCAATGCCTATAATATTTTGCATCAATTGATGCAGTGCAGTATGGGCTCTTCATTAATAGATAGCCAAAGAGGCTGTTCTAATAAATGAGCGGTACGAATATAGAGATAGGACACTATAGTATATTCTCGCTATTGCTATATCATTCAGCACCTATTATTATAGCATAATTTCCTAGCAAAATGTTAAAGTTAATCTACATCTATAAAGCAACTTATCTATGTATTAGCTAATTTTCACGATAGACTATACAAATTTGTATTGTGCTGCCTTGATCATCAACATTCCCCTCATTTCAACATAATGTAGATGTGTTGCATCGAAGCGGTCTGCGCATATATTCGTATATTCGTATGCCTTATTCACACAGCTTACAAAGTATATGCCAACTAGAAATACCCATATCATAATGAAACATTTTTACATCTAGTAGCATACTTTATTCAATTAAACGAAGTAATCAAATTATCACATAATTAAAAGAATTATAATCAGTCGCTCCATACGTAATGTTACAAATAATAATCCTTATTTCCACGTACAAATTATTACCTTCATATTCAAAGTGAGCATCGATAGTAGAAAGAAAAGAAAAAAAATCAACCATCTAAGCATGAAATACTTCAAGTACGAGTACAGACGGCATTGTTCGCAATTTTCAACGACATACTTACTTAATTGTTAATTAGATAGAAATTGAATAATAATTATCAAAAATAGAGCTTATACAGTAAACGAAGAAAATATGGTTCTAAAATAGAGATATATATATATATATATTCATTTTGCAGCTTTTACAATTGATAAAACAAAACAGTAAAGAAACAGTATGCAATAGTATAAACTGATACAAATACTAAAAGTATTATGAAATTCAAGAGTATTAAAAATTTAACGCAGTTAGCAACTGATAATATTCCCCTTCAATCTTATTATCCACTTTATATTATATAAAGTAATTTAACAATTTATAAGTAAGTTGAAGTTACAGTATCGACTGTATTAATTCAAATGACTGATAGAATAGCCGAGATGTCAATATCACTATATCCAGACATAATCTTATAAACGAAAAAATTTTGCTGGTCAAGATGCAACTTCTAAAATGGATACCAAAGCGACAGTTAAATCATCAAGTATTCTTACTATACAGTACTGTACAGGACTATACATGATTTCCCTGTACAATGTGTACATTTTCTGAATTGTATGAAAAAACTGAACCCATTTATCACCATAAATAGCTGGTACTATTGTTGAGCTATAAAAAATGATTACATATACAACTTTTGGATTAAGATACAATTAGGATAGGATTACATTTGAAATCTTAGATTCTTAACCAAAGTAATGTAACAAAGTTATTGTTTACTAGCTTTTACTATTCATTTATTTAAGAATTAAAATTGAAGCCCTTGATTTTGTTGCAAACCAAGTCGAAGAGTAGCTTGATTAGGTACTTGATTTTGAAGCAGCTGGTTGACACCTCCAATATTACCATTACTTCTGCCTATAGAACCTGTGCTAAGATTGCTTACATTTAGGCTAGGATTAGCCAATCCTACACCTGTATTTAAACCAGCTAATCGTCGATTTCGTTGAACTGTACTCAACTGTTGTGCAGCTAGTAAAGCTGTAAATGGATCACCAGGTGATCGAGTACCGGTTAATCCAAGATTTCTTTGAGTATTGGCAGCTGCCAATTGTCGTAGAGCTTGATTATTTGCGTTTGCTTGCTGTAATTGCAATATATTATTCGCCGCCAAGGCATCCGAAGTCAGGTTTAATTGATTACCTAACGTTCCTTGAGCTAATAAACCCGTATTGTTTACTTGTTGCTGGTTTACTACCGATGGTGTGATTAAACCTAGAGCAATAGCTTGCTGGAGTTGTTGTGGCGTTAAGGAGGACAAGATACTTTGTAATTGAGCATTGTCGGTAAGAAGTTGATTACCCTGGAGTTGTTGCAGCTGATTTTGTTGTAATAACTGTTGCTGCAATAGTGCTAAAGATTGGTTTTGTTGAAGATTCTGCTGTAACGCCAACTGCTGCTGCAGTCCTAGTTGTTGTGGTTGTTGCAAATTCAAAGATTGCTGTAATCCTAATGATTGTTGCTGCAATCCTTGCTGTTGTATTAAATTAGGCTGCAATTGCAAGTTTTGACCTTGTAGTCCTAATTGTTGTTGTAGTTGCTGCTGTTGTAGTTGTTGTAGCTGTTGTGGTTGTTGCAACTGCCGTAGTTGTGCTTCCGCCTGTGATGACGAATTTTCAGTTGATGGTGTTGAATTTAATATCTTGGCTGAATCCACAGTATCACTATTGGATGTTGGCAGTGATTGTGAAACTATATTTACATTATTGTTAGTTACTGGAGTACTATTTGTATTTTCCTTAGAACCGTTAATTTTAATATCTTTAGGCGATTTATTAGGAGGTACATTTTCACCATCAATGCCAGCTTGTTGCATACGTTTCTTTTTCCTTTCCATTATCATTCGCTTCCATTCTGGTTCAGCTTTATTAGATGTAGGAGTTGGAGTGGTGGTTATTTTCTCAGAAGATTGAACAGCAAGCGGATCACTTTCTAGTTTATCTCCAGCGGCATCTTGGAGGCTTTTTTGCTGCTCATCCTAATAAGTAACACCATTTTTAGTCTTAAATTTGATGCAAACCGTAGTAATTATGATATAAATTGAGAAATTTTAATGTTACCGGTAGTTGTGAACGTTGTGTTGTTAGTAAGCTATGAAGACGATTTTCTTCGCCAGGGGCAATTTGGGCTAGTTCTTCTTTCGTCAAAGAGAGTAATTCGAATCCTCCATAATCGCCCAATAAATCAGTAGTTTTTGCGGAGAAATTTCTTTCAGTCAGGTATTGCCTAATTTCCTCTTTACTTGAGTTTGGATTTATAGATCCAACTAAACGAATGCAAGTATAAATCAATTGATTTTAGTCATTAAACGATAAAACAGATCATATGGTAGGGCTGTAAGGAAAATATCGGCTAGAAATGAGCGCTCCTATTTACCTTCGTTTCGGTTCCTCGACTGGATACGGCGCATTTTCATTCGTGCTTTTAATTCATCTTGCAATAGATCGCTGTCAGAAGCTATTTGTGTTAATGAATAAGAAATTAATAGAAATTAATAATACTAATTTCAATTTTAAAGAAACTATAGATATAAAATTTGATTATTAGATTATTCTCTATATAGCGATAAACAGTATATGATTATTAGTATCTAATTTTGATCTATGTTCTAGGTGAAAATATATCCTCAAAAATAAGTCTTTACTTACCTTTATATTTCACCGTAGTTGTTTTCTTTAATTGTGGGTTTTTCAATGCGTTTACAAGCGCTATAATTTGCATATTATATCAAAGTCAGTAAATTTATATTAATATCGCTGCATTTACCAAGGCTATATTTTGCATGTTATTTCGAAAACTCATAATTTTAGATTCATATCACTTATTTTCATATCCTATAATTAAATGTACATCGAATCAATGAACTTAATTCATTTTTTTTATACTGTAAGAGTATCTAGTAAATAATTAACCTAGTTTGCTATCCGTTTTGCTGAAAACTGGAGCAGGTGGTGGCGGTGGTGGCGGTGGTGGTAGAGCTCCATTTATAGCTGCAGATGGCGCTGGTGGTGCTAGTGGAGCTGCTGGCGCAGGTGGAGGTGCTGGCGATTGTGCTGTTAGTGGTGCTGCAGGCGGTGATATCGGTGGTGGTGGCGGAGCAGTAAATAAAATAGGATCATTGGTATTATCTTTCTTGCTATTTGTTGCTGGAACAGGTGGTGGTGGAATATTTGGAGGTGGTGGTGCATTCACGGGCAGTCCACCGCCTCCATCCAACAAGACAGTATCTGCGGCTACCTCCAAATTCTTAGATGGCACAAGTCCTTGCTTGCCAGAGTTGATATTATGGACCAACCATCCATCTTTAGTTTTCTCTATTACCTGTAATTATTGCATTAGTATCGGTAATCAGGTAAATAAAACATCTATGAATTTAAGGTGGTAAATAGCTTTGGCCTTACCTCACACTTTTCACCAGTTTTAACAGCTAAAAATCCTGGTGTAGTCGGGTTGTAATCAGCCTTGACAGTGGCAATTTGACTTGCTCCTTTTATTTGAGCTGCACTGTTTGTTCTAGATTATTAACCGATATGATAGATAAGTAATTATTTATTATTATATTAAATGTTGAAGTTAAAATTTAAGATCTGGATATACCTGCCAGCTATTTCAATTGCTAATGGAACTCCACCAGGAACTTTTGATGTAACTGATTCTGTTCTATTATTATTGGTAGTAGCTGCTGTAGCTACTGCAGTGGCGCCTGCAGCAGCAGCAGCAGCAGCAGCAATATTATTGGTATTTACTGGTGTAGGAGAAGCTGATGATGCCTATGGTAACAGAATAACCATTTATATGCCAATCTTATTTTACATTAATCGGATCATAACGATGAAATAATAGTATTATTCACTTACCGTTTGTTGAGGTTTAGGGGTTTTAGCAGCGATATTAACCAAACGCTTAATATCTTTGGATAATTTAGCCCAATGAGGATTTTTAACATCTTTAGGCACCCAACCGTCACTAAAGACGGGATAGTATACGGGTACTAAGTTAGCATCGGGATATTGATCTCTAAAATAATCAAAGATGACAAGTCAGGATTCTACTGAAATGTTAAGAGTGAGCTAAACAAAAATTTGGAATAGATATAACGACTATTCCGTATCTTTCATGATATGAGCTCATACCTTGATAAATTCCAAGCTGATCCTAAACTTTGAATGGCTTGCTCTTGCTTTGGAGTAATACTAGCTTTAACTGTTTGCAAAGTTTGTACGGTGAAGAGTGGAGAGACAACATTGGCAGCAATATCAAGTCTATTCGAGCAATCGCAAGAAGATGTAAGCTACAACTACTAATTTGCAATTTAACTTTAAATCTAAAAGCGTACAGTGTGTTAGCAATAGAATATCAATTCCACTTACGCTTTGGGCACTTTCAAAATGTAAAGTAATAAATCCACTAAATATTGGATAATTTCAATGGGTGTTGGTTTCTGTAAATTTCTTTTTAACAATACCTAATGAAGATCCAAAGGTTAGTTTATACAATTACCATAATATTAAATTTTCTGATTCTAGCGATCATTTTACGTCATAGCATAAGGGTGATGAAACATTTTCAAAAGGCATTAGTGGTATTTCCCTAGATAGACTTACTGCATAATTTAAGCCCATCTTCATCTTTTGGAAGCAGTCTTTAAATTTTTCATCGTCTGGATAGACATTTTCGCTAAGTTTATCAGCATCTAATTTAAAAATATTCAATCTTAAGCATTGATAGTGTAACCAAATTATTCAAGAATATTCTATTTTGTATTACCTTTAATTTTATCCTTTTTAGTCTTCTTCTTGGATCTGCGATCTAAGACATCACTTCTTGCTTGATGAATGCTGGATAACTTCTTGACGAAACTTTCGACGTCGTCAATGCAATGATTCAAAATTTTCTGAGTATCATGGAAAATGAGATATTCCAGACTTAGTACTTTGATTCTTGATATGATTGGATTAATATAGGTAGGTGCACTTACAATATTATTTTCTACTCTGGCATTAACAGCTTCATTACCAAGTTGCAATCCACCTCTTGGACTAACGGCAGCCTTTGAATCCGATTGATCATCGGAGCTAATATAATGATTAATAAATAATTATTATAATTAGTTCAAATGGAGTAAAACGCTCTTTAATTTATAGTCCTATTTCAGTGGTGAGTAACCTAGTTATTTTACTGATTTTAATGGTAATATTGAATTCCTAGTGCACTATTTAGATCTTAAATTTCATTTTCCTTTCACTTTATTTATTCGCTATCAATGATCGTCTTGCAACACAAAGTAACACTTCTACTCTGCAGAACATAAAATCCGAATTTCTACGTTGAATAACTTACAGAGGCTCTTTGAGTGTTATAAGTAAAATAAATTCAAATACAAATTTCAGATTTCAGTACTTTTAACGTTAAAATCACTGACTGTGATAATTAGAAGTTGTTAAGCAAAGTCCATAGCTTACCCTGATAAACCACTAAGTTTCTACTAAACTTATCACACACTTTTTAGGCTTGTATAAGCTAAGCATTTGTTGGACTTAAATAGAATACTATGCCAGATATCTACCTGCTTGATATTCGTTTATTTTCAGATTCGTTCTTGTTAGTTATCCTAAGAACTGGCACTGAACCGTTTACTCGACCATTGGATGGAGGTTGAGGTAATGCAGATTCTGGAGGTGGTGGTGGAATGATGGGTAGACCATTGGATACACTGCTAGATCAAGAGTATCCCAAATAGATTTATTTCTACATAGTACAAATATCAATAGTAAAATTCTTTCGCTAATTTTAATATCGAAATATTTACCCATTGCTTGATGAAGGGTGCAAACTACGATCTTGCTGATTTGATTGACTGGAGTGATTAGATTGATCTGACTTAACACTACCATTGCTAAGCCGTCTACCATTTAATTTCTGTGTAGAAAAAAAAAGCAGAATATGAGTATTCAATTATTTACGCCTTTAGGCAGGGCTTTAAGCACTATGCATTGCATCTTACCTCTTCCTTGGCTATTTTAGTGGGAAATCCTTTAATTTCGTTGCATACTGTTGATGCCTACAAAATTAGAAGACAGTTACTCTTCATAATTCGAAGGTATAAGAATGCGCAGCTATAAACTGTATGGGCTATAAGCAGTAACTCATTTTTTGTAATTAAAACTGAATTGGTAGACTTACTTTAGCATCGAGTGTTCGGAAGATATGAAAATTATGAGTACCATCATTATTGTTGGTAAATAATAATAAAAGTTGATCAAATTCCGGTACATTTTCCATAAATTCACATCGTTCAACGGCCGTAAATGGCAATTGTTCCACAAGACTCTAATATTTTATATATTAGAAATATTCAAATTAGTTTGAATGCTACGATTCGTAAATAATCCGCGAAAAGAGTTTGAAATTTCTCAATTCTTTTAAATTTAAAAAGCAATTTTCTTACTTGAGTATTGATTTCAATGACGCTGATTCCAGCTGCATCTAATTTCATCAAGATTGTGGCAAAGTATAAGTCTCCTGATTCTTTCATGCCCTATTTGATGAAGAATGATTGAAATAAGCCACGTTAGCTAAAACTTCTATCTGGTAAGTCTACAAGTTAAAATATCTAAATACAACATTTCTGATAGTGGATATCATCTTTTCTAGTTAATATATTTTTTATATCATTACACAATGTAAAAATCAGGTTGATAAAATACTTAGGTGGCTTATTTAGCGAATAATATCTCGAATAGGAATTCTTATGTTAAGAGAAGAAATAAATTCGATAATATAGAAAGTATTTCGTTACCTTTAAATCGTCAATAATAACGGAAGCGCTCAAAGTATATGTTTTTGGATCAATTTTAGCTGTGGTTAGATGCTAAAATTTTGTGGAGAGAAGATTATAAATTTAAATTAGTTGCTACCGGTCCATTTTAGACATGAATTTTGCTTGCAATAAAAGTCTAATCTTAGCGATCTTATGGCTGTTCAATTCCTCTTATTGATAATATTAGCGCTAAGTTACTTACAACTAAAGTAAAATTAATTTCGATCGGATTTCCTGACACAGGATTCAGCTAATCGTGAATAAAATGTAGAAAAAATTATCTTCATTAATCAATAGAATTCATGGCATAATACTATGGATAATTTTAAAACTCTATAATGACTTTCTTATGCAATTCTAACTAAAGTCGAATTTTAAAATATTGAAAATATATAATCTCCTAGAATATCTTTCTAATTAAATTTACCTTTTTCTTTTGGCCACCGCGAATCGCATCCTTTAACATTTTAGCTTGTTTATTAAAGTCAATCGGATTCGAGTTATTGCTAGTTCGATTTAAAATGGTAAATAGAGGATATTAATGCAAAGGACAGATATTGTTGTAAAACGTTATAATATCCAGCCTATTTCTGTAGTATAATATATGATACAACTCTTTCGGAGACTGTTGCTACCAATAAGGTGTAAGCCAAGCCAATAATGCATAATGTATATATAATTACTCTGCTATCTGATGGTAAGCTAAGATCTTAGCTTTAGCATCTTTTGATGTTAATTTGTTTATACAATTAAGCTACTAATTAAGCTACTGATGGCTATATTGGTATTTGATAAGATTTTAACCTGTACTTAAGCACTTTACTAATACTTACTCAGTAAATTTTGCAGCACCGTAAGATTGCTCTGCAATTTTTCTAGCTTTTAGCGTTTCACCACGATGCAATGATCCATCAAGGCTCCCGTTAATTGGCTGACTCAATGTTGCCGAGCCATTGGATTCATTGGTAGTCGATTTACTTAACCCATTGGATTGATCTGATCGCCGGCTATGTAAAATATCGATAAATTACTTTAGTTTTAGCATTCAAAGGAGATGTATCTGCAATATCATGGCCTCTCAAACAAAATTGCTGCAATTGGGTAATATCACTTTGGTTATAGATTATCGTAATTCAGAATTTATTAAGAAGGAAGAGCAAAGGCAGACAGTGTTACAGCTAGAGCTGTGCATACATGCATGTAAAATTGAATAATTTTAGCTAAGTCCATATAGCAGTCTTAACTATCCACTATGAGGAAAGAAGTTTAGGAAACTTTTCTGTTAAGTCTAGGTTACAATGCCATAGTAACAATTTACGCTTTCATAATATTAAAATAGAATGCTTGGCAACATTCTCGTTATTCAGGGCAAAATAGATACCTTAACTTTTATTCTATTTACGATGATAGACTAGCATACAGTATATCCATTTACGGCTTCTATAGTTGCTGAGAATGTTTTTAGCACTATCTATGCTTCAATAAAATAGATTATATCAACCGGAATTGAAGAACTTTATTCCCCATCAACATAATGGCTAAGCAGACATAGAGATATGAAAGACTTTTGGCCAAACTTGAGAATTGGGCTAATTTAACAAAACACTGAGTACGGTATTTTAAACGTTAAAACGTCGAATTGATTCGATATAAACGTTTTGAATTGGCAGGGTTTCAGCTCTAATTAGAGAATTGGACTAATTCAACGAAAATCATATCTTAAAACGATTGAACTCATGGCGCCTATAATCTGGGCCACTTAAAACTAACTAACCCTAGCTGAATTTCATTTACGAGTAAATAAATATAATTTTTATCTAGATAAAGAGACTAAACGTTGAAAGGTGTTTAATCAGAGCTTGGCGATTAGGTAAATTTTAGAACAAATTTTAAATACTGCAACGATTGGTATAGAGTAATAAAAGTTTATAAAGCACTAAAAGGGTCGTCTATATGCATTATGGTCACTATAGTAACAGTTATTCTACTGAACTATCTATGTTTCTGTGGCTCGGCAGGGAATCTCTAATAACGTCATTATGGAAGAAACTATTGTCGCTAGCAGAAAGGGGCATGCAATTAATTTATCGAATTAAATCAGTCTAAATTGAAATATGAAGAAGAATGTTCACGGAAAATAATGAATGGTTAAATTGGTAGAAATGAGATCATCTTTAACGTTATATTTACCCTTTGCTTTGCTGATCACCCATGATGAAGAGTCTTGTGTATCTTGCTGATGAAGTCCAAAAATTAGTCTGACCCTGCTTTAAATATATCTACTGATAGAATCTAAAGAGAATAAAAAAGATAAAACAGGATTATCACGCAATCGTTGTGTTAAAATAGCAGTAGCAGACATTATTGTCTATAAGCGGGTACACTGTACAGGAAGCGAACATTAGCTCTCAATTGTCAACATTTTTAAGATTTCACGAGTACGAATATTCTAAGCATAAATTTAATTTTGCATTCTGTTTCTCTATTTTTGCAATGCCAAGTGATGTAGTTTAAATTCTCACTTGATATTAGTCTAGCTTTACAAGTATCAAGAATAATATTTTCGTCATGTATTCGATAGGAGTCACTAAAATACTGAAGACTATAAAAAGTACGGTAGATTAGGTTTAGAAAAGAAAATATGTAGAAGGTTATCATCTACAAGTGCTTGTTTCTGGTTATAACACTGCTATATTCTACGTATCTTTTCTAAATGATAAATAAATTTTGTCACTTTACTACCTATAGAATAAACTGTAGCACAATAATCCACTAGAAATGACTATCTATACGTAGACACTGAGGGCTTATTAATTAAGATTGACGTTAATGCAGAATAAAGATTCTTGTCAAAGGTAGCATACGATAATAGAAATTAATTAATCAATCAATTCTATGATGTCGATGAAGAATCTAATATCTTACTGGATTAATATAAATAAGTTTACGCATAGAGATCGAAATTAAGATTGAGTAAATGTAGTACATCACTTAATTGATCTCTACTTTTTTAAATATAAATTAATCAGTAATGAGTAACGTTATTGAGCAAGTCTTTGTTTTAAATTGCTTCTGATATTAAACACTTGCAGACTTCGTGGAAATCAGTTTGAGAAGCTTTATAATATTATGTAAAAGATACGTCTTCATTAAAGAAAAATGTTGCTTTATTTGTTCTTCTTCAGAGTTATTGAATCAGCCCTTTCGATCATATCGTATTATTAAAATCTTTATTTACCTGACTAATTCTGTAAATTAAAGATTAAGTAATGCTAAAATAGGGCTGCCATATAATTATGCCACTGTAATAAAGTAGAAGCCATGAAAAAAGAAACTATTGGCAATAAACTGATAGTAAAATTACGGTAGTTTATAGTGACTCAATGATAATTTCTAAATTATACAACCGATGATGAAAGGAATGACATCTACAGGACACTGAAAATCCCAGATCTGATATCCATGGAAGCTATTATCGACTTCTGCACTGCTTTTTAGTTGGTAAGAAGTTCTCAATTTTATACCTAATGCAATTTTAATTTAATTTATAATTACATGGCAATAATTTTACGACAGTTGACAAATCTATTAGTAATTATTCCAAGTTTCGGCGATGCACCAGTGAGAGTAAGTTTGAGAATAAATAAAGTGATGAATTTTTAGTTTACGTTTACAGCCAACAAGACAATAGTATACAATGATTAAGGAGCTCATTATTCTCTTAATTCAACATTCGGCTTAGCTGTGAATTATAAATTTTGCCCTAAAATCTGTAATCAACTATCAATGAAGGGCTGTGATTCTTGGCTAGTTATTTTTAACCAGTAGCCATAGCAAGTCATGGGATAGATACTTGGATAGGTTCAAGTAGGATTAAATTTTTATTCCTTTACTTTAATAATAAACTAGTTTCAATTTCAGAATCTTCAAGTTCAATGAATAATACTGAACAGGATTCTCCATCTATTTACTTTTACTATTACAATTAAAGCAACTGTAAACCCATTATTTTATCATCAGTTTGCAGAATTATCGCTTGTCTCATTATTTAATCATCAAAATACCATATATAATAAATAGTTTATTTAGAATCCACTTCCTATCCAGTCTAGTTAGCAATAGATCTACTTTTAATTAATTAATGACTACGAGTTGTGCAGTAGTAAAATAGAAGATAGATGGATATAACTATTTTTTTTTTAATAAAAACTGTCTCATTTTCTCTATATGATCAGTAGATCGATTCTAAAAATAATCTTTAAACTTCTCAAATTAGCTTTCCTTTGTAGCATAGAGCCTTAATTGTACCTCAATCTATGGCACATTGTTGCCAAGAATTTATATTTTCGTAGTATGTAATCCTTTAATAATAGTTTAGTCTAAAGAAAGAATTGATTGAGTTACAGAATTTTCTATTTTGTAAGTCATGGACGTCATTAATGTTGTTTTAACTAAGGGTAAAATTCGGCGAGAGTTATTGATAGCAACGATAAAATTTTCATTCTTCTAACCTGTTTTCGTAGATATTTTTATACTGACTCTATTTATAGCGCTAAAATGGAAAATCAACTCATTATATTGGATATAATATTAACATTAGCGAGTTGTAGTCAATGAATTACATTTATACCGGTAAAATAGTTGGAAAAGGGAAGCCGTCAGAGTGTCATAATGCAATAACTATCTTCAGGAAAAATAAGACTATACGAGTAAACAAGGCAACTATTTGATGATGTGTCAAAGAAAAATCCTTATCTACTGAATGATAAACTTCAGATTTGAAATGAATTTGCTGTTGATTGTAATTCGGTATGAAACTAAATTCAGTCGTAAATCCTGCGCCATGTTATAATACTTGTCTTGAAATATAAAGTATAGATTTCTGAGTCTTAAAAAATATGATTCGAAACAAGAAAGCTTTAGACTTGACGTTATATTCGTTGAATACTTAATTGAAAGCTATATAATCCTGTTTTTATTTGTCAGTATGAAGATTTCATTCTTAGAAACTGTCAACTATCTGATTAAATGGAATAAGTGGGTAAATAAAGGATAATATTAATCCCCAATTTCAAAGTTGTGAATTTAATATTTCATAACGATTCATTAGACTGTATTTAGTTAAAATTTTATTTGAAAACAGACTTGCAGACCAGAGAACTTTCAGCTCTGGTGCTGGACTAGATGGGAATACTAGTAGAATAATTCAAAGCATTTCAGTGTGGCCTTTTACTGTAAATTAACTTCATACCGGTATTAGTCAGTATTAAAATAACCACCTATCTAAACTTAAATCCTGATGATGCTATTGGAAGAGGCTAAAAAATGTTCGTGAAGTATGTTAATGATATTCCGTTAGCACTGAGGTTCTGTCAAAGTTTATAGAACATACTATTTACTTTAAATATTGTCTTTTACAAATTAAAGTCCTTCATATATGTTTAATATATAACATATACACTTTAATTGAAAATGGGCTTCAAATTTTGCAATGTTCGCTTTAAATATTCTGTCAGTACATAGTAGACTATTATCTCCACTAATATCATTAATGCCCATATACTCTATCAATATATAAATTATACGATATAGTCTTCTGTCTATCCAATCATGAAATCCATTCTTGGAGCATTAAGTAAAGCAGTTCGACCTAATAAGTATTGGTTTAATTGCTGCAGTTATTAGTCTCCAAACTTGTTTAAGATTATAGAGTAAAGTATTAGATAGTTGGGTTAAAATTAAAGAAATAAATCTCTTGCCATATTAAATATCATTTCTACTTACTATATACTAACGGTGTTAATAATTGAAAGGCAAATGTTATAGATCCTTTATTTTAATTTATAAAGGCTATAAAGCAGCCTTTTGGGATCCGTTCGTGGTACTATTCATCGAATCTTGAAGGATTAAATGATTGCTAACTTATTGAAAAGCACTAACTTCTTGCTACCGTTTACAGTTAATCCAAATTTGTAATCTAAGATATAGTGTTGTGAACACGAATTAAATAGCCGAAAGATAATCGTATTTCTATGAATAAGAGATATAAACTAAGAACATATGAGATAGATGAGAATATATAGAATTACTGAGAGATTAATTTTTTGTAAGATCAGATATACCGTATAACTTATTACTGGAAGAGAAGAAGCGTCATTTTAATTCTCGCTGAAGCAGTTAAACTATAAGATGAAATATCAATTTGCTGCCGATAACCTATCAACTAATCCTCAAGTAATTGAGTAAATATTCGATTTTAACTGGATACTCGTTTGAATATTGAAGGCTATAATTTAAAAAAGAAGATTGAATAGCAAACCATGATCAAGAAACAAATATTCAATTAAGATTAATCTTAGTCGGAGAAAAGAATTTACGAGAAATTATTGGAAAATGTAAAGAGAGTTTCGTGTTATTTCAATAGAATTTAAGTTAAAGACAATTTTGGAGCTTCTTAAGAAAGCTTCCAAAATTATCGTAATAGATTTGGTCCTAATGCTAAAATTCGAAATCTATAAAGTATAAGCATAGAAAGAAATTTATATTGGGTATGGGATACTATTATTTTAGTTATAAATTGTACCGATTGATGTAGTATACTTTTAAAAGTTTAAGATAATTTTATGGTAGATTATCAGAGAGAAAATCTGTTCATGTTGCTGATCAGTTTCATCTAGATTGAATTTTAATGCGGGTATAGAATGATCAGTTTCGTTACCAACTGTCTCATGTATCTACATAGTCTATTAATTCTTTTCTACTTTAATTGTAGCCTTCAAATTTCAGTTATTGCTCATTAGTTACAGAAATACTTGGACGAAGTGACTCATTTACTAGATTATAAAATTGACTTGAACGGCTAACATTAGATAGGTAAGACACGAAATCCTTTAGCGTTAAAGTGATACATAGTGGACTTCAAGGATTTAAGGTAGCCATAGCAAATCTGTCTTAAGAAATTATCGTCAACAGTTACTTCTCAATCTGTCAGCAGGCGTAGTTTTAAGGATTTAAATCAGTTTGTATAAGACGAATAGAAGAATGTACAATCAAAGTACTTTCCTCTCCATCAGTAAACGATGGATAGCGATGAGATAGCCAGAAAAGGAGAAAAAAGATGCTACAACTTATACAATTTGAAACTAAAATTGACTTCCTTCACAAACCGTAAATATTATATACGGTACTAAGTTTTCACTCCATTTATAGAAAA